ATCCCTCCTACAAATAGCCTGCCCTTGCAGGGCATGGGTGAAGGATAGCAACAGCTCCATGCAACACAAAAGCCATTTGCTGACACATGTTTCTGTGGTTCAGGAATCTTAAATCCTTGGTGAGGATCACAACTACAACGCAGAACAAAAGCGCAGCGACCAACGTGACAAATAAAAAGTTATGATGCTGGAGAAAAATCACAGAAGACAAAATATAACACTTTATTAAAAATTAGTGTTCCATTTCCATTTAATGCACTGATAGAAAACACTTTAATCAATAGCTAATATGGTTACTGCTTTAACTATTTTATCCATAAGGCTGACCCTTAAAAGTTAGACAAAAAAATAAAACAAAGCCTGATGCTATAAGAAAACAGCTTGATCACAGAATGCCAGTTTAAACAAGATCAGCAATCATGTTTGCTCCTCTGCATACAAAATATTACAGAAATCCAAACTCCTTTACTACTATTAAACAAATTAAGCTTCAACATCCCTCTGAGGTAGGGGAGGGTCTTACCATCTTATCACCATTTTATTACAGATGAGGAAAAATGATGCACAAACAGAAAAACTGACTTGCTGTGTGTCACCAAGTTAGTGGCAAAGCTGGAAACAGGAGTCGTGCCCGCTCATCTCAGTAAAACTTCAGTTCTAACAGAACAATGGTGTGAAATTTGGCTGTAAAGATGTAATGCCAAGGATTGTCAGAGGATATAATCTAATTGTGTAAAACAGGGCCTGCTGGGCCAGACACATTCAGTTAAGGTATACTTCACCAGTATTTCCTAGCGTGAATTGCGTCTGAAAATTTCAATCCTCAAGAAAAAAATAAATTAAGCAAAACCACAACGAGCATTGCCAGTTGCAAGCAGGACGCAGCTTTTGAGTGACACAACAGTATCAGTCCCTCCAGCGCCCTCCCAGTCTCGGTCAGTTTTTATATTTTAACCAAGAAGTGAAAGACAGAAAAAGTCACCAGAATGGAGTGTTAATGACAGGATAAATGTCTCCTGTTAAAAAACTAAATGTCAAGGTGAAGGTTAAACATTAAGTTTTGTCAAACATTTAGGTTTTGAGTTATCAAGCAGCTGGAGGCTGCTACCCTGCAGAGCTCTCTCTTTTGCCATTATTGCCTAATCAACACTGATCCTGAAAAGCTGTTCAACATCAGACATTCAGTCAAGGCACCCAGTTTCCTTCTCTGCGGAAAGACTGAGGCTGTCCTGCAATATGCTGGGACGCCGTTACAGAAACACCGCAACCCTTTATCACAGCACTCGTGTATAGATGGCAGTTCATGTTTTCCATTCATTCTCTCACTCTGCTAATATAATATTTGAAAGCACACAAGTTTGCTTAAACTTAGGAGCAAAGAGGACAGTAAGGTTTCAAAAAGAGCTCCAGCAGCTAACGAATGCTAGCTGATATTGTTAGAATTCATACGTTACAAATGAGGCAAAAAGGCATTTCTTCCTCCTGAAGGCTACTCCAAATTCAGGGGCACATCAGTAAGCACATCCATTGGCGATGGTCAGTGCAGGAAGCCACTGCAAGTCTCTTAACTCACAGATAAATGCATATAATTAGAAATCTATATTGTCTTAATAGGGATCGTAAGTTGTGATATTTAAAGCCAGCAGAGAAGATTTTTGGGAAGCACAGCTGCTTGCTCAGTCTAAAAGTGGACCGCTTACTACAAATACGTGAATGCTGCATTTCAAAACTGCGTCACCCTTTTCAGTGCTTTTTCCCTGTTGCACCATGTTCTAGAATATTCTTGCCAAGACAATTTCTAGCCTTCATTTAAGCAAAGGATTATTAAGATGAGAATGCCAAGCATGTGCTACATCAAAACTACAGTATTCAAAATGATCAGAACCTGGTAGTACCGAAACTGTGCAAATCAACACGCCGTGATTTTGGTGGAAAGGACATTCAATAACATCCTGTATTACAGCAGTTCCAGATGGACTCTTAGGAGAAAAATATAGTGTTCTATCACTTGTATCCAAAAAATGTTCAACCCACGAACTGTCTAAGTGATGGCTGCATCCATGCCTACATTTAGACTTACTGAGACTTCTAGTAAATTACTGAATTATGTAAGCACTCAGGTAAGGAGTAACTCTGGGCATTCCAGATGTTATCAGAAACCCGAGTCTGGCAGCCCCACCTAGGGAGATCTCTAATACTACAATCATTTAGCCCCGTGCATGTCCAAATAGCACGTTTCCCAGAACACACTTACACAGGGGATTTCCTGATGTTCTCCCATTCCCCTCGGCCCACCAGTGCAGAGCTACAGAACTGCTCGTCAAACCCAGCCACAGGTATTCAACTGGGATCTCTCAGCCCCACACCCAGAAATTCTTATCAGGACAAAGAACACCAAGACCATGGTTCTGAAATGTCTTTTGAACAGACAAAACTCCAGTGGTTATGCAATTAGATTTTTACTCTAAGTAAAGCTTGCGGACTGACAGGAGCGTTCTGCCCGGAGCGGCCAAGCATTGCTTAACATCGTTCCAGTTCTAGTCATATCTTCACCTGAAAGCAGATGTTTTGTGATCAGCAGTAATCGGGGTAGAGAAGGGAGAATGAATGGGGATGAGAGAAGACGGTGAAATGAATTTAACCTGGTGTAGTGGAGGATTTCCCTGCCCATGGCAGGGGGGTTGGAACTAGATGATCTTTGAGGTCCCTTCCAACCCAAACCGTTCTGTGGTTCTATGAAAAGGATATCTGTACACGTTTAAAAAACATTCACAACTGCTTACTGTTCTTACTGATACGCCACATTCTCCAAACACCAAGAAGTTATTTTGCACTTTTTAAATGATTCTCACAACCCAGCTGGTTCTCAAAACAGTTTGTTTCCAAGATTAATTTAATCTAAATTCTAATCAGGAATTAATATTACTTGTTGGCTATGGGAGACACAGAAAAGAAAACCAACTAAACCAAAACACAAGCTTTTCTCTGCTTCTTATTGCATAATAATTCACAATTTGAATCCATTTCATTAATGAATCCTGGGAGTACAGAATCCAACCATGGAATGAAAAGCTCTGGACTAGCACACAGATCTGACACTCAGTCTCCTTCACACACTCCTTCCCATACCTGCACTCTCCAGAGAAAAGAAATGCAAATATGACATTTTTCTGCTTATAAATTCTTCTAAACGGTTTTGCAAAGCTACCAGCATCACTTACTTAATCTGCTAACATTCACTGTGACAGTAACAAGAAAAAATAATATCAATCATTTGCCAAGAAACAGAAGTGCCACACATGAATTTCAAATGTCAGTCTTATTTGTTACAAAACAAAATAAATCGAAGCTATTAAGTTCAGCACAAAGACCCTATCACTACAGGCTCTGCTGGTAGCTGCAAGGCACCCACCGCAGTGGAATTTAAATAGTATCAGTGGAGGGGAAATTTTTTTTTATAAAATCCACATCACGCTCTAGCAGAATTAAAGAAAAAAAAACCAACAAAAAAAAAACTTTGTCAAAACTAATCTCAGCAGCTGTATTTTCACTGGCACAACAGAAAAACCAGCTGGAAAACAAGAACTTTCAGAAAGCACTACGAAAAGAAACGAGGTTATCAGAGTTGTGGAGAGGCCCTTACCGTGGCAGCACGACTTCCCGACGGCGAGGAGAGCGACGCGGGCGCCGGCAACGCGCAGCGAGGCCGGGCGAGCCGACCGTGTCCCGACAGTCGCGGCCAGTAGTGTTTTCTTACCAAGCCTCAACCATTTCATTTGCAAAAGCCTAAATGAGTGGAAATCATTTTTTTGTTCCCTCCCCTGCTTCTATTTCTACCAAACCATCTACCATCTTCATCCTACTTACGGCTTCACTGGGTGAATTTGGGATTATTTTCTTGCAGGCTTTTGCAGTAATTTGCTTTGAAACTGTCAAAGCAGCTCAAGACCAACCATCGTGGGACCTGACGCATCCGTGTCCACGCACGGCACGGGAACACGCTCCGCTGCTGACCCGTGTCCGCAGCTGCCAACGAACAGCCGTCAGGTAATAACCGTTTATGACAGTGGTAAAATTTGAATCTGCAACCTACAGCTGAAACATAAAAGCAAACGTTTAAAAATACAGGAACAACTTTTCATACTCATCTTGGAACTGTTTCCAGAGACCCAATTTGCAGAGCGGACGTGACTTCCAAAAAGCCCTTTACAATTAGCAGCCTGCCAAGCACTCGGAATAAAAGTGATTATTTCAGTTTAAAATTCAGCAAAAGCTACCTCTCTCCTGTGTCCAAAGCCTCTTGCAGTTTCACCCTAGAACAAGATTTTTATGACTATTCTTCTCTTTCCACTTCAACTTCTATGCTCTAGAAGGGATTCAGAACAGAAAACTTTGAGTTCACCCTTCAGCATGTGAACATTATCTAACATTTTATAACGTTGATTAGTCTGTACTTGCCCAGTCACTGCAACTTTCCCCCTGCTGCTTGAGAAATTTAACATGAAACAGCACTTCTGGGCCACAGGAGGTAACTCACGTAAAACTTACGCCCCGATGCCACTGTTCATATAAACAGGATTACACTATCACAAGCCTGAACGATGGCAGCTCTGCCACGATCCATTCCTGAAGTTTTCTTACTTGAAGAAGTTTCTTCCTTCACCATATCCATTTCTCCATCTCCCAAGGCAAGTCATTACATATTAAATTTCCAAAGTTTTCTCATTTTTCACAATGGGAGGTTCTTTTGATGACTTGACTCTTACCTCTGTGGAAAAGCTTGTCTTAGAATTAAAGAATTTTAAATACAGCTATCTTGGAACACCAACCTTTGTGTACTGGGGGAAAGAGGTGGGAGAAATCACACGTGCAATGCCTCTGACTATTGGATAGCTAGCCATTTCTTCTGGGGGTTATCAGATGTGGTGTTTGCTAAGAGTAGTTGTGTTCAAGTTCTCTCCACCCCCTCTTCAGTATCTTGATTTAAAAACTGGAAGTTCCATTATACAAAACCCTAAATGGGCAGGTATCTGGAAAAAAAGATTTTCAAATCATGCCATCTCACTCGGGGAAAGCAGTACTTCCTACAGGAAGTAAGAAAACCAGCAAGTCATTACACATGAAAGAGCAACCACAAACCCTCGGAATCGGCGTTCCGAATTCCATTCCTCAGTGGCATGAGAAGGGGCCAGTCTGTAATTAAAGCACACGGTGCAAAATTAACATCTTAGTTCTCAAAGCCTTTGGCCTTTAGTGTTGCCTTGTGCGCACAAATGCCCGTTTGCCTCTCTAGGGAGCCAAGAAGCCAAACGAGGATCAATCCAGAGTCCGACCGACCCCTCCCGCTTCTCGATCTCCCTCCGAGAATATCGCCACAAGCCTGGACACCAAACCCCTTCTCCTTGACCCATGTGCTAGTGGCCAAGCTGACGGTCGTCATAGGTGCTGTATCTCTTCACGTGGATTCTGCGCACTCGGTCACGAAGTTCAAAACCCTCATCATCCTCACTGTGGGACGCCTGGCTTCGGCTCCTGCTTGTTGCTTCCAGCAGAGAGTTGTCGGGAACCCGTGGTGTTTCATACAGTAAGACATTTAGTGTTTCCTCATAAATTCGTGCCTCGGGGAATTCAACCTACAAAAAACAGCACACGTCCTTTTCCTGATCTACACAGGACAACACGAATGGAACACGTGCCCATATGTAAAAAGACACTTGAGCCGGAAAAGACATACACTATAAAGAGTAAAACAATTGTAAATGAGGAAGATGAGCAAAGCAGTCTAATTCCTCGTAGAGGATTACTCCCACCACCAGCTCACCCACCTCACCTCTTCTTTTAGATTGTTCTAGAATGGAATAGAGTATTTCTGATTCTTAAGTGCTATGTGGGACCCTGGCCACCTTACCTGCACCACTGCAGGTCAGAAGTTAACTCCTGAAGTCAGGGGAACTCTGGAAATTTATCATGCTAATCGTTACCATATTTTCATGCACGTAACTCATCTCTTTAGGATGCACCGTGCTTGGAAGCAAGTCTTTTGGTAACCTTTGCAAAATCAGAGGTGGGAAGACTATGAGAAAAATGGCTGGG